ACCTTTAAATTTTAATGTCTTGTCCGGTGTAAGTTTATAAAAAAGAGCAGTTTCGTCCCCATTAAATATATCACAGTCTTTGTATCTTCGATGGAGCGAAGGCCAAACGTTCTCTTTCCAATTATTTGTAATTTCCATATTTACAGATGCAGCTTCTCCGTGGATTTTCCCTTATCGAATGTTATATCGGTTCTTCAATCTATCGATCCAACCTTTGGAACATATAAAATCACCGCGACTTGTAGACGGTTGATCGCAAATGGATTCACCGATTTTATTAAGTTTATTTGCTTTGTTTTGTAAAATCATTGTAGAAGTTGTAGAGTTCTATTTGTCTATATTGTCGACACCGTTGAACTACTTAATTTATACTCGCGACATATATGTACATTTTTGCATCCCTGTTCGAGTTTTTCTATTATATTTATTTTATCTTTTAATGTAAGAGGTTTTCGACGTTGTTTTTCCATTTTTGTAACGACGTCTAGATACAAGTTCACGTAAATCTAGCGATAAACTGAACTACCGATGCTGCCTGTACATGGTGCCTAAATGGCGCGTCACGACGTCGCCAGATTTTTACGTCATTCGCTCGTTATAGACGGTACAAAACACGCAAAACTACAACCGAGCTCTCGTTATAACCGAACTCTCGTTATAACCGAGCACACGTTATAACCGAGATTTTTTACATTGTAAGGATAAGATTTTTCACGGAACTTGGAAGCTTCCTCGTTATATAGCAGATGCTCGTTATAGAGCACACTCGTTATAACCGGTCTTTACTGTATATATATAATATTATTATTAGCTCATTAAAGGTATCGATTTTTGAAAGAAAATTGTAACCATTACATAAAAGATGATTTTGACGGATCAAACTTTTTGCCATTTTCTGCCATCGATTACCCTACTCCAGAGAATAAGTAAAACTATCCCGATACATCACTCCAGAAGAAATTTTGTTTTTCCTCAAAGCCGTTTTAACAATCATATAGCAAAGGAAAATCTGCAGTTTCACAACACTGCGTTGATCATATAGGTATATAAACTCATCCACATGTATGGTATACGGGTTTTATGGTGTATGAGTTATCATTGGTTATCATTTTCTGTCTTGAGCCTACGTATTTAATTCCATGTTCTTCCCATATCCACCAACAATCCCTTTATTATGTCATCTCACGTTTGTTTAGGTCTCCCTCTCTCTTTATTCTTTCCATCTCTTGCCTCCCATATTTGTCTAGTTTATATTGTGTTTGCCTTTCTCTGTAGATGACCCTACCATACGAATTGCCCTTCTTCTCCAAACTATAATATTAATGTCATTTCTAGGTCCTTTCGTTCTTGCTGCCTCTATCTTATTTTTTTGTGTATTACTCAATATCCACGTTTCGTAATCGTATGGTGAGTATTGGTCGATATATTTCATTATATACACTAAGTTTTGTCTTCCACAATATTTCCCTTTTATTAATAAACTTGTTGTTAATACCTAGTTTTGAGGGTATATGATGTTTTATATCATCTCGGCGTTTTAAGTATATATAAAGCTTTATTATGATGTTAACCATCTTTATATCATATAGTACTCGATTGCAAGCAACCTCGGCGTTTTGATTACGAATAATAATCATTAAAATTTTAACCGCCTTCATATCAAGAAAATATTTTAGGTACAAATACTGTTTATGGATTAAACAGATTCAGCTTACTTATAAGCAAATTCCAGTTAGAAAGTAAAAATCCCTGAAATAAGAGAATTGGAAGATTAACCACGATGGAGAATAATATTTGAAATAAAAAAATATGAGAAATTAAACATTTTCAGGAACTACCCATTTTTTCAAGTCTTCTAAAACAATACGGGTATTTCTAGAACAAAAGGTGTCCTTTAACTTTAAAAGTGTCAGCATTGAAGGAAAAAACCACTATGTAACGACGCATATGGTCGTGAAAACATAAAGATCTTTTTTGCATATACTTGTTATATTCGCTTTTTTCTTCTTCTAAGAATTTTAGACAAAAACCGTTTTTACGGCTTTTACCCTCTCTCCTTTTTTCCAATAATAATGAAGCTTGTTCCGGTTTTATGCAAATCTGAACCCCATAACGTTTTTACGTTTTTACAGTTACCCTTTTTTCTTTTGGGGGTCCAGGTAAAGACAGGTAGTGTTTCGGCGAGCGGCCTTGTACTTTTTGAGCTCATGTCACTGACAAATCGACTCTCATTAGTTTACATTACTGGTCCGAATTCTGGCTTTCTGTGCTACAGACACCGCCATGAGAACCGCTCACCCCTTAGAAGAATCTTCACGGACAGATACAAATATTTGCGACCAAATTTTCACACACATATACACTTTATATATTTTTTTTAAGTCATTAATCACTATCTAATTAAACAGAAATATAAAATTGAAGAAAAATACTCATCTACATCTTAATAATAACACATAAATTTCAAAGACTCCGAAGTTTACGGTTAATTTCCTCGGAATAATGCGAAATCAAACCCTGGCAAATTGACCGATAACCCGATCACGCGCTGTTGCTATTGGTAATAAACGTCCAAGAGAAGGGCTTACGAAGGTGGATGTTGCCAAAGATCAGGTAGCTTTTACGAGATCTCCGGTTGCTTCGGCTCTGTTTCCAATCTGCAGGTCTCCGTAAAATTATTTATTGCTTTACACCGTATTAAACCAATAATAAGCAAACGTGTATTGCAGTTATTGACCGGTTTTGAACTACACTAGAACTCAACGAGATTATTTAACTTTTTTTTCTTGACGATTTTGTTTGATCGAAACCGCTTTTAAGGTGTAACGAATGATAAAGCAGAAAAAGAATGATACAATCAGTAACGCTACAACCAGAAGGACTATAAGAAAAGAAAGAGTATAGTACCTAGTTATCAGATGATTTATAACCGAATTCGGTTGGTTTTACGATGAGGAACCCGCGTTTCGGATCGTTTAAAGTTTCACACCTAATCATCGAATAATAAATTAAATCGAAAATAAATTGAAATTTTGTGATTCTTTTTTTATAATATAATATATTTCAGAATAAAATATTATAATATAATAAAATCTATCATAAACCCAAATGATTCTAGTACTAGGTATAGTGTTAGTTCTACATAGTAATAGTGCTTGTGTTAAACTAGAAGTAACACTATACCTAGAATTAGAATCATTTAGGTTTAGCCGTCTTTAGAGACGTGCGGCTAAACCTAAATGACTCTAGTTCTAGGTATAGTGTTAGTTCTACATACTAATAGTGCTAGTGTTAAACTATAAGTCACACTATACCAAGAACTAGAATCATTTGGATTTAGCCGCACGTCTCTAAAGACGGCTAAACGCAAATGATTCTAGTTCTAGGTATAGTGTTAGTTCTACATACTAATAGTGCTAGTGTTAAACTAGAAGTCACACTATACCTAGAACTAGAATCATTTGGGTTTAGCCGCACGTCTCTAAAGACGGCTAACCCCACATGATTCTAGTTGTAGGTATAGTGTTAGTTCTACATACTAATAGTGCTAGTGTTAAACTAGAAGTCACACTATACCTAGAACTAGAATCATTTGGATTTAGCCGCACGTCTCTAAAGATGGCTAAACCCAAATGATTCTAGTTCTAGGTATAGTGTTAATTCTACATACTAATAGTACTAGTGTTAAACTATAAGTCACACTATACCTAGAACTAGAATCATTTGGGTTTAGCCGCACGTCTCTAAAGACGGCTAAACCCAAGTGATTCTAGTTCTAGGTATGGTGTTAGTTCTACATACTAATAGTGCTACTGTAAAACTAGAACTAACACTAGATCAAGAACTAGAAAGTTTTGGGTTTTGCCGTGTGTCTTGTTTTAATTGTTATTCAACGTCAGATTGTTAACTTTGATTGTTTTACTCTAATTGCCTTTGAATTAAAATTTTGTGATACTTCTTTTAAATAATATATTTCAGAATAAAATATTTCAACATTCTTGAACCATCAATCCATCCACCATAAACTATGCCAACTGACAAAACGCCAAATAGGCAACATAAATTCAAACGTGCGTCTTCACTTGAAACTTTTTTCTGTTTTTGGCAACAAATTTTTTTATCACATAATACGAGATTTGGTGTTGACACAAAAAGAAAAGATCTTACTAGAAGATTGAAAAAAAAGGGGAAGCCTCCTGGTTTTCATAATAGACAGCCGCCACTGGACTGTCATAATAATAGCGCCGCTCAAAAATTTACGACGCCATAAATATGGTCACGGCGCTCGAGCCGTGTGCCCTCAGGTTGGTGCCCCTGTTGGCACCTGTGCTAATTTGAAGGAGAAAACCAGAGGAACGATACTTATTCTACTACAACACACTACAAGAGAGAGAAAGATGAAAGGAGGAATGAAAAAGAATGGTTTTGTTGTTGTATAATATAGGGGAAGGTTGGAATGTTAAAGTGTGTGCTCCCGAGTGTGTGTTAATTGATCATAAAAGGAGTTGAATGTTTTAAGATAGATGATGGGAAAAAAAATATATATGTAAATTTATAAAACTCTTTTTAAATTGAAAAACTTGTTGATTTCAGTGTGGTTTCTGCACCCTGCATTCAACGTTCCTGAAAACCCCTGAAAACAATAATCTTGTACGTTTCAGTGGTTTGAGTCGATTTGGAAACGTTTAAACGGTTAAAACAGTGGCGAAGATGACTGTTAACGGTGGTAGCTTCATTCCGGGAGCAAAAATTCTTAAACAATCCACAACAAATTATCAATTTTCAGAGGCCAAGTCGTGGCCACACCTCCGGTTACAGCCTTTTGCTCCGCCTAGCGCGTGCGCTTGGTATGAATCGAGACTGTAACGAAAACTCCTCCCCACTATTATTGCCATCTTTTTCAGGCTAAAGTAACGGAGGGATTGGTTATCTCCGTTTAATACGGTTACTACACTATGCTGAGTTTCAGAGAGCTCAAACTCAGTCGTATCGCAGCCGAACGAACGACTTCCCTTTAAAAACACTTAGATATAAACATCCACGTGACCCGTCGAGACGCCAGTCGTCGCTGGTTGCGTCGTCCTTTCAGTATTCCAAATCGCGTCATGCGTTTCAGTTGTTCGAATAGTTTCAGTCGTTCGAATAGTTTCCGTCGCGATAGTGATCGGATGTGAACAAACAACTATAAAGTAATAAATAAATAAAATAAAACGTAAAGTGTTGTAGTAAAATTATCAAAAATTTTCATTGTGATGGTTTAACCAAGAAAATAGGACTTGTACAAAAATGAGTTCGTATCAATTCGTTAACTCTTTAGCCCAGTGTTATGGCCAACAGGCCCGATCTGGTGATCAAGCTTCAAGTCCTGGAGCTGATTATTATAATCCTAACGCTGCATCAGCGGCTGGTTACCCACCGGCTTGTTATTCACCCCCTCAAGTTGGTCCGCAATATCCACAACATCCATATGCAACCCCCGCGCCAGGACATGGTCTTCAACCGACCATGGGTGATTACACTCAACTTCAACCCCAAAGATTAGGGAATCCCCATCTTCATCATACATCACCGGGCGCGCAAAGTCCCGGTATGCTCAATCCATCAGCAAGTTGCAAATACGCGGATTCAACTTCTTCAACGGGAGTTGCATCCCCGCAAGATTTAAGCACCACCGGCCCACCAACTAGAAGTACACCGCCTCTTGCCACTCAAACATCCAATAATAGTGGTAGTAGTGTAACCATTACGTCGAAATCCACGGGACTTACGTCTCCGTTATCGGTGAATACATCACCATCAGTTAAACCTAGTTCTTCAGCAACCGTTTCGCAAAATTTATCATCACCAGCATCGAGCACTAGCTCGACGTCCAGTAATGAAAAATCCGGTGGCAACAATAATAATAGCAAGAGTGGTGGAAATCCGAATCCACCACAAATCTATCCGTGGATGAAGAGGGTACATCTTGGCCAAAGTAAGTACAATCATTAATTTTAATCGAAAATGACGATGATGATGACATGATTAATGAATGTGTTAAAAAAAATAATAAAATAGGACACCCTCTATATATAATATATAATTTTATTTCACGCGATGATCTAAGAGGGAAAAAAATTAATGTAATTTCGATTTAAAACATTTTAAAGAGGCATTTCACACCATAACTATACTCATGATAGATTATCGTTTGTGTAAAACATTTCTAAGGCCTTAATATGACGCGTCGAGTGTTATTCACGATATATTTTTTCACGGAAAGAAAAAAAGTAAATCTGATGACAAATGATCCTTCCTTGTTATTGTGAATAATCAACATTTTTAACTCGGAGTTTCAACATATTCACGGTCTTTGATAAATTAAAATGACACTAAATAATTTCTAAAATAACTAAAAAAATTTATTATTCTTGTAAGCCGAATCTTTTTGGTTTCTACCTCGGGGTTACACGACGTGTTATTATCTGTAAACGGGGATCATAATTGCATCTCTTGGTCGAGACGTCTTCATGATTATAATAAGCGTAATTTTTGCCGGCGCGGGCTGGATTTCATCGTTTTTTACTTTTTCTATTCGGTTCTTTTATTTATTTTGCCCAGTGAAGTTACTGGACCCTCTGGAGAGAGAGTTGCGCGAGCTGTTACGAGATGCTGGGCCCCCGGTTTGATTTATAGAGGGGCCTCAGAGCCGCAAAGGTAACCGACGAACAGCCCCCCTGCTATTCCTACAGGAACCCCTCGTTCTCTTCCTACGGACGATAATTTTCAATTTTTCCCTCTTTTACTCGCTGTACACGCGATTATAATATTTTTATTACCGTCAATAAAATAGATTGGAGTGCACAAATACCATTTTTTTCGACTCAAAACCTTTTAAAACAAATCAAAAACAACAAAGTTGCAATTTAGTTATTTTCTTAATCTTCGTCTAAAATGCTTTAAAACGAACCCAAACACGACGATGTTATCTCAAAAACAACCGAGATATGACATTTTTACAAACAACGATCGTCGATTGTTTTAAATTAATTTTTTTGTTTTTTAATCGTATCTCGCTTATTTTTTAAAATAAATTAGTGGTGTTTGGGCTCATTTTAAACGTTTCTTTATTTCGTATAAGATGGTTTAATAAAAATCCGATTAAAAAATTAAATAATTTATATATAATAGAAAATTGAGCTAATTTTTTTTAATTAATTATATAATTAATGGTGTCGTATTTAATTAATTTCACATCAATTCTATTTTATTAATTGATAGATAAATTATCCTTGAATGTGCTAATTGTTACAACATGCTCATTATTCATAATTTGAATATATATTTGAATCAAAATTAATTTTTATAAACTACATTTTTTATAAAAGAAATAAGATAACCACGTTTATTAGGACGAATCAAATTTATATCATGTCAAAAGTGTATCTCATTTCGTTGAGATAACGTATCAAAAATTATGCAAATAGCGGCTAATGATGGGAAAAAAGGCGGCCAACGACAAATGGACCGTGTAAGAAAGGAAAAAATGATTAATCATAAATCATTTTAACATGAATTTGCGTTTTACAACAACAGAAATTTCTTTCAAAGTGTCTACTTAGAATTGTTTTTCTTTTTCGTCCTCGGTAATCTGGGTTTGGTAATTGGAGAGAAATTATCGTTGAGATTCACGATGCGAAAAGGTAGAATAAGAAGCCGATAAATTCACGAGAAAATATCGCTTATTGCCGATCGAAGCAATACGTATCACGATCTTCGAGAAACTTCTTTGGTCCACCATCGAGTTCTGAAGTTGCGAACTAAGGAGATGGGCGTGCCCAAGCAATAGCCGACCAACGCTTACCGACTTAATTAAGATGTTAAATGCAAATTTCGCCCAGGGAACATGGTCGGCAACTGAGCAGTCCGCCAAGTCGAGAATCGCCCGGTTATTATATAAATTATACAGTATTAAGGTGGAGTCGAGGCCCCAGAGGATGGCTTCATCCTTCCTTTTACCCCCGTCGTCTATATACGCCATCGACGAGTCGCGTTAAAATGATCAAAAAGATTTAAAAAAAAACTATCTTGCGCTATAAATCTACTCATCGACAGCTTAACCAACCAACTCAATATCTTCTTTTGTACCGTAGTACTTTTATTACTTATAAAAAGGGGTTTGCCACTTTTCTTTTTCTTTTTTTATAAAAAGTTAATTCAAAAAAAAATAGTCAAAGAATAAGTTTCCACTCGACTGAGTAATCTAACACCCCGTTAATGTCGGTAAGAAACATCCTTTGTTGGATGTTGTGGCGTGTTTATCCAGTGTGTTAAGGTAGTCCCTTTTGTAAAAGGGATCGAGGAGATACAATGAAGAGGTGGGATTTTGGGGATTCAAAATGATCCTTCCTCAGCCACGCGTGTCGTTCTTGATTTATTTTATTTCATATTTAGGAAATCAAACGGTTTTTAACAAACTACTAATAAAATTTTTTTAATAATTTCTTTTTTCCATAGTTCAGTTTTAACAATAAGTCAGTAATCACACAATCTATAATGCTTTCTGATAGCCAAGAATTGTGAGAATATAAACTATACAATTTTGTCATAACTTAAAAACAAATGACTATCGGGATTGGAATATGAGGTCAAAACGTTTGTTTTGAAAAGCCAAAATAGAATAAATTTTGGCGCACACTGTATTTGTTTGTTTATGACCAATCTAGAAAAATTGAAAAACACTATATACTCTCTTTATTAAAGAATCGACAACCTTAGGGTCCAAATCTGCACATACTTATCTAACGTTAATTGTTTTGAGACTTAAGTTTGTTGTACTGTTGGTATTATATGTACTAATAATGTTGTAATTAAAAAAAACTCAATGAAATATTGGACTTATAAAAGTTAAATATATGTTGTGTATTGAACAATAACTTTTGCAGGTTGAATTTTTAATATTAGATCTATTGCCTTAGAAACCAAGTACATAATGCAGCTATAGCTTTGATAAATAAGTTTTAACAAATTGATTTTTAACCGTTTCAGCCACTGCCTTAGCAAAACTATTAACTCCCAACGCTTCGGCAGTAGAGCTCCAAATAATATGTTCGTTATTGCAGAGTAAACTTTGTAGCCCATTTTTGGAGTATCTATCCTCCTACCTTGGCTACCTTCGGCTTAAAAGTCATTAATTCGTATTGAAAAGAAAGCTTTTCGAATATTTGCACTACTGCCTCAGCAACTGTGCTGCTTCAACTTCAAAAATAAGCTTTCAAGTCTTTCAGAACGTAATCTTATAGTCAAGGAAACTGTAATTAGTACAGATTTATTGAAAAGTAAGCTTTTCAGTCGGCTTTTCAACTATTTCAGCTACTATCTTAGCAACGGGGCTGCCTCGGCATACAAATAAACATCTGAATTGAAAATTAAGCTTTCTAGTACAGTTTCCAAACATATGCACTAATTCGGCATCATAGTTAAATAATAGGAACGGATATGCAAATATCCGGTATCCGGCCTATCCAGCCATTTTGTAATATCCGGCCAAAGACGAGAAAGAGTTCTTGAGATATAAATTTTTGAAATGATCGACTATTTTTTTGCCGATTAAGTTTTAAAAATTCGTATAAAATCCATTTATTGGAATATGAGTATGAAAATTTTCCAAAGTGTTAATAAAAGTGTGCTCTTTCCAATGAACCAAGCCATTTTGAAAAATAACTTTTAGTTTTTGAGAAAACAATATTTGAAGATTTGATAAAATTTTCGATATTGCAATATTCATTGATAATTTTCAAAATTCGCTATAAAATTAATTTCTTGAAGGATCCTTGTGGAAATATCACCAATTATTAATTAAAGTATCCTCTTTTTAATGCAAAAAGCCGTTTTGAAAAATCACTTTTAGTTCTTGAGAAATAAATTTTTGAAATGATCGACAATTTTTTCGAATTTTGCAATTTTCGCCGATTAAGTTTTAAAAATTCGTATAAAATCCATTTCTTGGAATATGAGTATGAAAATTTCCCAAAGTGTTAATAAAAGTGTCCTCTTTCCAATGAACCAACCCGTTTTGAAAAATAACTTTTAGTTTTTGAGAAAACAATATTTGAAGTTTTGATAAAATTTTCGATGTTGCAATTTTCATCGATAATTTTCAAAATTCGCTATAAAATTAATTTCTTGAAGGATCCTTGTGGAAATATCACCAATTATTAATTAAAGTATCCTCTTTTTAATGCAAAAAGCCGTTTTGAAAAATCACTTTTAGTTCTTGAGAAATAAATTTTTGAAATGATCGACAATTTTTTCGAATTTTGCAATTTTCGCCGATTAAGTTTTAAAAATTCGTATAAAATCCATTTCTTGGAATATGAGTATGAAAATTTCCCAAAGTGTTAATAAAAGTGTCCTCTTTCCAATGAACCAACCCGTTTTGAAAAATAACTTTTAGTTTTTGAGAAAACAATATTTGAAGTTTTGATAAAATTTTCGATGTTGCAATTTTCATCGATAATTTTCAAAATTCGCTATAAAATTAATTTCTTGAAGGATCCTTGTGGAAATATCACCAATTATTAATTAAAGTATCCTCTTTTTAATGCAAAAAGCCGTTTTGAAAAATCACTTTTAGTTCTTGAGAAATAAATTTTTGAAATGATCGACAATTTTTTCGAATTTTGCAATTTTCGCCGATTAAGTTTTAAAAATTCGTATAAAATCCATTTCTTGGAATATGAGTATGAAAATTTCCCAAAGTGTTAATAAAAGTGTCCTCTTTCCAATGAACCAACCCGTTTTGAAAAATAACTTTTAGTTTTTGAGAAAACAATATTTGAAGTTTTGATAAAATTTTCGATGTTGCAATTTTCATCGATAATTTTCAAAATTCGCTATAAAATTAATTTCTTGAAGGATCTTTGTGGAAATATCACCAATTATTAATTAAAGTATCCTCTTTTTAATGCAAAAAGCCGTTTTGTAAAATCACTT